AAATAATACTTGTTTCAATTAATATATATACTATATATAAGATATTTATAATATATATACTATATATAAGATATATATAATATATATATAATAATATATATTATATTAATATTACAATTTATTATTTTATATAATATAAAATTATAAATATAAATATATATAAAAATATATATATTGTAATATTATACATAAATATATAATATATAATAAATATAATATATTGAAATATCATATAATAATAATCAATATTTATAAAATTTTATATATATTAATATATAAATAATTATATTTATATTATGTAATTATAAATATATTATGTAAATATAATTATATATTATACTAATATATTATATAAATAATATTATTATTATTAATATTATATAAATATAATTATTAATATATTATATAAATATAAAAATAATGTAATAATATATAACAAAAAAAAAATAACTTAAATAGGTTGCATTTCCATCTTCCGTTAAAATCGGCATGAACTTTCAGGACAACCCAGTATATATATATATATGAAGAAACTAGACAAGTAATATCTTCATAGACACATATGAAATATCTATGACAGAAATATCTACTCACAATTAGACACGTATATACTACGTGTTATACTACTCAGTATAGAAACGTGCACTAATGGAAAAAAACTCGGAAGCTTTGTGAGCATTACGTAAAATGGCGTTAAGTTGACGACTATGAAAGATCATTCTTCAAATGACATATATAGAACCATAAAATATAGTCACTTGTGAAAGATTGCAAAGTAATTTAAAGGACTTCTCGTTGAGAAAAGCCATATTGCTAATTGTACAACGACTCAACTTGATGATTTACGATGGAAGATATCAATGGCTATGATTATTACACCAAGAATAAGAAAGAAACGAAATGGAAGACACAAAGATAAAAAAAGGAAGATCATTTTCTTCCATTGAGTAATCATTTTTCTTATTTGTAAGTTAACATCGGACATACAGGAGTAGAATACGAACTAATAAAAGGCATATAGGAGAAAATTAGAAGGTAAAAAAGAGAAAAAGAAGAAGAAGAAAGAACTCGTTTGTTGTTACCTGTCTGCCACGTAGAACGCACAACCACCAGCCTTCGAGACCAGCAGTGTTCTGTTCCAACACAGTGAGAACATCACCTTTTCTAAAAGCCAACTCGTCCGGTGCTTCAGCTATGTTGTCGTACAATGCACGTGCTTTGACGCATTTTTGCTGCAACAGAAAAAAAAAACAAAATGCTAATTAGTTTCACGTATGGCTCGTTAGACCCAGTTTTCTTACCTAATCGAATGATAAATGAGAATAATCCTAGATGAATAACTTTAATATATTTTTTCTTTTCTTTTTATATACAAAATTAGCAACTCAATGTGTTTGTTGAAACATTTAAAAAGTTTGATATTTCTAATAATAAAATTATCTATTAGATATAATTGTTAATTATTATAAAATAATGAAACAAATTAATGTGATATTTGTTCTTATACTATTTATCATTTGATAGAAATACCTTGTTTGTACAAAATGAAAATTTGTTTGACACGTTGCACGGAATGTGTTTAATTAAAATGTCTTTTTCAAATAAGAAAAAAGGACATTTTTCTATAATTCACGATAATCGAGAATTCTCATCAATTGGGTACGGGATGACGGAGTACGCCCTTCTGGTCAATTTAAATCCATAAAGTTTTTAACTTGGTCTCCCTCAAGTTTCTATTTCGAGATACCCGAACTCACATCGTTGTCAACGATCTCTCAAGAATCGCGCCCGAAGTGTTTGCGAACGATGCACAACTTGGACGATGCAATTTATGGAGGGGAAGGAAGAAGAATCGCTTCTTCTTCTTCTTCTTCTTCTCCTTCTTCTTCTTCTTCTTCTCCTTCTTCTTCTTCTTCTTCTCCTTCTTCTTCTTCTCGCACGCTTTAACTCTAAAGTGAGTTCAATTGAAATGCCTCTCGAATATACGCAGTGTAACAGAACGAACAAACGTCGGCAACCTAAAACGTAGAACTAACATAAAAGACAATGATTTCATCAGTTGTTGTTGTCTCCTTTTCCTGTTGAAAACACTGATGTCATATTCGTGACTTTGACGAATTCCGGCGAGGAAAGGAATGGCGCCATCAATTCACCCTTCCACTTTATTCACTGGTTATTTCCCGTCAAACATAATTCAACCGTTTATTTAAAAAATGGCGTAAGTCCATTTAGGTTACAATCGAAATGTTGAAATGTTTGCGTTCAAGTTTATTTCAAAATAAGAATTAGGGTATCAAATTTATCATCCCAATTAACATATTGGATTGTCCGGAATGTTCGTGTCGATTTTCGATAGATGGCATTAAAGTTCTTTTGCTAAAAAACCTGAAAAGTTCTTTTGCTAAAAAAACCTGAAAAGTTTTTTTGCTAAAAAACCTGAAAAGTTCTGTTGCTAAAAAACTTGAAAAATTTTTGGAAGAACGAAATTTTAAAGCTATTATATTATTATATTATTTTTATAATTATATATATACATTAATAATTAACAAACAAAAAAAGAACTTAAATGTGTTGCATCTTCCATCTTCCGTCAAAATCGGCACGAACTACTTTCAGGACAACCCAATAATGATTATTGATGAATACGATTGGACTTAGGTTACTTTCAGATGAAATATTTTTTGCAAAGTAGCAACTAACGGTGATCGTTTGAATTTACAATAGTCGATCGTAAATGTCGATCGACAACACAAACGGGAAATGAAACTACGCGTGTTATGCAGGTCACGCGTTTCGAATTTATCGTAAGCGTTCTCCAATTACGAGTTCTGCATAAGTTGCATCCCTTCGTCCTATGTCAGAGAACACTGTGTACAACTATGATGTGACCATTTGGAATTATTTCGAGGAACCAGAGTTACGTAATCTACTTACTGAAGAAATATAACAATAGTTGTACACTGACGTGATAAGTTTGACGTTTGTACGATTCGTGTTCACATAGAATTCTGTCAAAACTTAGACTTTTAATTGGAAAGAACAAAGCCAAGCGAAGATTTTCTTTTGAAGAACAATAGTATGAATTAAAAACGATGCTATGGTAAAATAATGATAGGAGGGACCGATATTCGTTAACGGAGAAAAAAATACGAGAGACCTACAATGGAGATACGAAGAATGATTTGATTTCAAAACCGATGAACCTTTAATGGGAACCTTTGGGGGAGTTACTCTCTTGTTTTGGATAACAGTGGGACGTTTTTTAAATCGTTTTCAGCTATACTCGTTCACCCCTTTTAACGTTTCTCATTCATACACCTTATATATGTACATATATGTATATATATGCTGTATATATATACACAACTAGACTCGTGATTCCGTTTCTGCCGATGTTGCGACTCTCTTGCATCAAATACCAACATCAGCAACTCTGATGCATTGTCGAGAAGAGAAATGTTTACACAGGTGCATCGTTCACATTAATACAAATATGTACGTGAGAGAGTATTTATACATTCACCAACATCATATCTTCTTGACAATGGACGCTTTATATGATATTGATAACAACTAATCTTCAACAAGCATGACAAATTCTACAAAGTTTTAATGGTATTAGTTAGTAATAATAATAATCTATCTATATATTGGTTTGACAAGTAAATAATTGAACTTGTAAAATCATCAATGAGTTACTTACCAACCTAATATATAAAAAATCAGGTGTCACAATATTTGTATTTACTGATAAACTATTTAATCAATCTTAAATGAAATTTGATTTGTTTCAACTGTGTGCAACCCATTTAAGATTTTTTGTTTGTTATATATTAGTATATATTATTAATATATAATTATTATTAATAATAATAATAACAAATAAGAAATATAATAATATAATAACTTTAAAATTTTGTGCTTCCAAAACTTTTCAGGTTTTTTTTAGCAAAAGAACTCTAATGCCATCTATCGAAAATCGGCACACGAACTTTCCGAACAACCCAATATTTTGTATTTTTTTTTATTACAAATTTAAAGATTCACTTTTTTAAGTTTATGTAGGTCTGTAGATTATTATAAATTGTAAGAAGAATATTTGAATTTACGTCTCAATTAACGATAGTCAATTGAAATGATCGAGTAATGCTTGCCAACCATTGACCCCATGGACCCCTCCCTACCTCTTATTTTAATCCCAATGGAATTTAATACCCACGTGAAAACGCCTACCGAATTCCACGACGATGAGAAGAAAATATACCGATCTAAATTCCTGCTACGTTTCAAACTAACACTTATACATATGCATATATATATATCATTGTGCTTAAATACATAGAAACGAGGATCGATATGTAATATCCTAGAAGCGAAAGGTGTCCTTACCAAAGCGGAAAGATACCGTACCCCTACCTGTGTTCAACACACGTATCTTAAATCATGGCGTGGGACGTTCCTAAACTAATATTTTGACAAGGGACAACCGTCCCTCTCTTTTCTATGATATTACTACGCATATATATGTTCTATACTTTTTATGATATTAACTTCATATGTTCTAACCATACTAGCACGTGCTCAGAACCATCCTTGATAAAACCCTCGACTTGAATGAACAATAATATTATAATAATAGTTTGAAAGGTGTAACTCTAATAAAATATCAAACATTTTCAACTTGGGCAACGTATTCTTGTTTTCTTATCTTCCAAATCGTTGGATTATAAACGTATTTTGATTTTATACATATATGTGAGTAATCAAACAATTTCATTATTCCAACGAATTTAAATAATCACTGATCACAATGATACGTTCACGTATGTTAATGAAATTAGGATACAAAAAAAAAGATTCCAATGATAAACATGGATTAAGCGTCGTATCCACCATATTTGAATCAACCCCCTGCTATTTTTCTTGATTACGTATGCAAACTATTTATTCTGTTCTGTTCTCTTTTGAAAAGCTTCAAACCAGGATCACACAGGGGTTTAAACTTCGTGAGTCAGTTTTACTGTAAGAGCGCGTCAAGTTTGACGAAGGGTGGGCTCGGCACGTGCCAGCTTCTTCTTTTGGCTTCACCTTCAATACAATCATCGTATATTATTAGTAGTCCCAGTCTACAGTAAAACTTGTTCAAGCTTTTAAACTCAATATCGAAGGTTGTCATTCACACTCGGTCTCCTGTTAACTTTCAATTTTACAAAAGGATCCTAATTTCAATGATTTTTATTGTCATTTGCATTTCTTTGAAATATTTTATCATAGATGTGCAGAATACAATCGAATACACAATTGTTTTAACATAAATGTGCAGAATACAATCGAATACACAATTGTTTTAACATA